GAAATCTGTGACTTCTCTTTTTTCGCCAGGCCGCATGGCACGTGGGATCTTTGTTCCCTGACTAGGGATCAAACCCATGCCCCTTGCAGTTAAACCTTGGAGTCAACCATCATGGAAGTCCCACTCCTCTTTTTTAAAAATTTTGGGCCAATTTCCAAAGTTGGCTAAAGCCAACTAATGCCAATACTAAAGCAGCTGAATGTTCCCAGATAAAACCCCACAAGGGGGCAAGTTGGTACCACTGTGATTTCAACTGGGCCCTAAACGCTGCCCAGAAATCTCAGTAAACTTCTCTGGTTTATCCACTCTCCAGTTCTTGACAATGATGGTTTCAAACCTTTCTTATTCTTCTAACCATTTGAACAGCTAACTTTGAGCAGAGTCCTTGCTTCTACTTCTTAAAAAATATAAGAGAACTTCCTGCCACAAAACTGACAAGCCTAGTTTTATTCACACCCAGCTTTTCATATTTCCTCCTGTTAAAAAAAAAAAAAAGGCTTCTTCTCTGCATCCCCACAATTATGTTGATTTAAATTGTTGATTTAACCCTCTCTCATTTCTTAGGAATCCTACACTGTCAGTTACTTCTCCCTCCAGTATTTTCAATCTTTATCCTGACTTGATTCTTGCCATCAGCATTTAAACATATTCAGCCTCTTGCACACATTTCAACTCACTTCCTATTCCCTACCCTGCCCTTCTTGCAAAGCCAATTTCTCAAGTTTTCTATACTTCTAATTTCCATTTCCTCACTTGGCACTTCCCTGTCGATCCTCTCCAAGCTGGCTTCTGCCTCAATATTTGCACGGACTCCCCTCTGTCAGGGCTTCCCTGGTGGCTCAGATGGTAAAGAATCTGCCTGCAATGCTGGACACCCAGGTTTGATCCCTGGATCAGGAAGATCCCCTGAAGAAGAAAATGGCAACCTACTCCAGTATTCTTGCTTGGAGAATTCCATGGACAGAGGAGCCTGGCAAGCTATAGTCCATGGGGTCTGAGCAACTAACACGACTGAGCAACTAACACACACACACCCTTTGTCAGGATCACTTATAACCCTGTCACAAATCCAATGCGTATTTCAAATGCTCCTTTTCTCGCCATTTTCAGTAGTGTGTCCCAGCTGGCCACTGCCAAGCAGCTTCTTCCCCTGGCCTTCTCACCCTCTACTCCCCTGTTCTCCCACCTTCAGCTCTGGCAGTCCTTTTCAGTATCCTTTCCTAGGTCCCTGGATGCTGGAGTCTTCCCTTTGCACATGTACTCTCTCCCTAGGTGGGATCTGAGAAGTAGCATCCTCAAGGTCATGCACTGCGCCACCTCCCAGCGCCAACCTCATCTGTTCTTCTGCTTATTCTCTGCATCCATAACAGGTTCCTCAATGCTCCTTAAACCTGCCAGGCAGAAGAGAGTCTGGGGACTTCCCTGGTGGTCCAGTGGTTAAGAATCTGCTTCCCAGTGTGGGGATTTCGATTCCTGGTCAGGGAACTAAGATCCCACTGAGGAACAAAGATTCCACATGCCACAGGGCAACTAAGACCTAACAACAGTCACATTAACTTTTAAAAAAATAATGAGTTTTTGGAAATATTTCAGTAAATTCAGTGAATCAGCTTTCAATACTTTGGCCAAACGGTCTTCCCTCTTGGGGAACTGTATATGAGGGTGTTTAGGTCCCCAAGCTGACATTTAACTCACTTAAAACCAAAACATAAGATCAGACACTGGAATCTTTAGCTCAAACGTGCTACTTAAAGCTTTTGTACCAACTTTAAATTTGGAAAAACATTTTCTGGGGAGGGAGGTGCTTGCTTTTTCTGAACATCTCTAAACATATCAGTTCCTCAGTTCTTTTCATTAACAATGTGGCATATGGTAGATGTTCTGGGCACAAAAATCCTTTGGTAGATATTTGTTGGTCTGCCTCATCATGTGATAGTTTATTATAATCATATTGCAAAGGGTAAGGATGGAAGACCTAGAGAGTACGTTAAAAAATACACAGGAATTGTCTAGATTCCTCTCGGAGCTATGAAAAACCGAGGCTGAGACTTTAGGCTCAAGTTCTAATATTAAGTGTGCTATGATTTCTCAACGCATATGTACAGACGCTGAGTCAAAGAAGAAAATAAACAAGCTGTACAAAATCCTGGAACATGGCTATTGCATAGCTATGATGCCCTCTCCACCCCTACCCCCCGTACTGATTCACATTCTCATTCCTGAAATAGTTTTGTGCCATTCCCACCTCTTCTTGGTTTATTTCCATTTTTCGAAGCCAGGAACTCTATTGACATGTTCAAAACTGTAAGAATTGACACTTTTGAACTGTGATGCTGGAGTAGACTCTTGAGAGTCCCTTGGACAGCAGTCAATCCTGAAGGAAATCAACCTTCAATATTCATTGGAAAGATTGATGCTGAAGCTGAAAGTCCAATATTTTTGGCCACCTGATGTGATGAGCTGATTCAATGGAAAAGGCTCTGATGCTGAGAAAGATTGAAGGCAGGAGAAGGGGGTGACAGAGGATGAGATGGTTGGATGGCATCACTGACTCAATGGACATGAGTTTGGGCAAACTCTGGGAGATAGTGAAGGAGAGGGAAGCCTGGCGTGCTGCAGTCCATGGGGCAGCAAAGAGTCAGACATGACTTAATGACTGAACAACAAAAATGTCAAAAGGATGTAGAAAAGGAAACACATGAGAAACCTCACTTCCGCCCCTGCCCCCATCCACCATTTTCATTTGTATTAGTTTCCTTTATCCTTCTGGTGATACTTTATGCATAGGCTTTTTAAGAACTTTTAAAATTTTATATTGGAGTATGACCAATTAAAAATGTTGTGATAGTTTCAAGTAGACAGCAAAGGAACTCAGCCATTCATATACATGTATCCATATTCTCCTCCAAAATCCCCTTCCATCCAGGCGGCCACATAACAGAGCAGATTCCCTGTGCTATACAGTAGGTCCTTGTTGGTTATCCATTTTAAGTACAGCAGTGTGTATGCGTCTACCCGAAACTACCTCTCTCTTCCCCCCACCCTCCCCTTCAGGCAACTGTAAGTTGGTTCTCTAAGTCTGTTTTTATTTGTAAATATGTTCGTTTGTATCATTTCTTTTTAGATTCCGCATATTTGGAATGTCATTTACTATTTCTGTTTCCCTTACTTCACTCAGCATGATAATCTCTAGGTCCATCCATATTGCTGCAAATGGCATTTTCACTCTTTTTAATGGCTGAGTAATATTCCATTGTGTGTGTGTGTGTGTGTGTGTGTGTGTGTGTGTGTGTACATACATACATCTTCTTTATCCATTCCTCACTTTATGCATATTCTTATACCCTCCCACCCCTATTCCTTTTTTATACAAACTACATCCTGTCTATAGTGTTCTGTGTTTCATTCTTTCCCACCTCCTCATACATGCTGATCTTTGCCTATCCGTTTAAGAGGATTCTCCTCATTCTGTTTTACAGCAAATTGTGTTCCACTGTGTGGATATATCTTTTTTACAGTTGGGTCGCTGCCATTTTGTACCATTAAAACAATGCTGCGATGAATTGTGTATATACTTCTATACGTGGACAGGTTAGTTTGAATTTCAAGACCTGCGCTTGCTACTTCAAGAGTAAATGATTGGACAGCTATTGCTGGATTCTCCCCCACACATTTTGCACTCTTACCGGTGGGAGAATACATTTCCCCACAGCTCAGCCAACATAGTGTTATCAAACTTGAGGATTTTTGTCAGTCTCACAGGCGACGGATGATACCTTAGTTTAATTTGCATTTCTCTTATTAAGATGATTAATCTCTTCCTCTGAGATGTAAAGGATATTTGGTCTTTTTCTGTGAACTGTCTGTTCACGGCCCTTGGTTCATTTTTCTATCGGGTTCTTGGTCTTTTTTATTCTATTTTATTGAGCAGAGATTGGAATGGGCTCAGGGCTTCCCTGGTGGCTCAGTGGTAAAGCATCACCCTGCCAATTCAGCAGATGCAGGTTTGATCCCTGGATCAGTGGGGGAGATTCCCTGGAGAAGGAAATGGCAATGCACTCCAGTATTCTCACCTAGGAAATCCCGTGGACCGAGGAGCCTGGAGGGCCACTGCCCATGGGGTTGCAAAACAGCTGGACATGACTTAGTGACTAAACAACAACAAAGAATGGGCTCAACTGTCAATGGACTACAAAACTACAGCTTCAAAAGAGTCTTTCTTAAAAAAGTAATTCATGTGTCTATGCCCAGGTCTCAGTTGCAGCACACAGGACCTAGTTCCCCAACCAGGGATTGAACCTCCGTCTTCTGCACTCCTAGCACGGTCTTAGCCACTGGACCACCAAGGAAGTTCCCACAACAGCCTTAAAGGAGTTATTCCTGCTGCCCTCCACTCCCTGGAAACAGGGATCCCTTAATTCCCAATCAGGAGAATTTTAGTTTTCTGACTTAAAAGTAATGCACCTTTACTACAGAAATATTAGAAGAAATGCAAACCACTCATGTTTGCACTTATATTCCTTTGTTAAGGAGGTAAACTAAAAAGGGAAATCCTTCCCCTCTCATAACACCTCTCCCAGAGCTGATCGTCAGGGAATATCAAAGGTTTATTCTATACCCTCCTCCCCCATTAGCCCTGTTAACAATTTATGGGTGGAAAATGATTCATTTCAGCGATAGCCTTTATACTCTGCTGCTCCCCATTCTTCAAAGCAAGGAAACAAACAAAAATATGGTCATATTTAGGGGCTGTGGTTTGTGAGAACTTAGTATCCTTCCTGGCATCATGTAATTTTAGAAAACAGGGCCTTCTGAGAGGGGCCTAGAGGGAACAGGAAGGCTCCTTACCCTATTTGGTAAGTTACCACCATCTCAAAGTGTTTGATTAAACAGTCCCGTTGCATCGTGGTTGGTCCTCCCAAATCAAGCTCTTGATTAAAAATATTTTAACTTCAATTAGCAGCACATCGGAAACAATAACAGAAACTTGAACAGATTGGTCATTTTAAATTAAAATTTGTATTTGGAAATAGAAATGCATAATAACACACTTTTTAAAAAATTGTCACATAGGAACATATCTTCCGATCCCACAGCATGCTTCATTTACTCAGAAAAAGTTACAGACACAATCAAAACAAAGAGCTTTCATTCGTAAATGTGAGTGCCTTTGTTTAGCACAAGAAGGCTCACGGGAACGTCAGACTGAAAACCAGTGGGTTAGTGACGCAGAAGGTTCTGAGCAAGGAGGCTCAGAACCTCCCTGGTCTGCGTCCCATCTCGGGCCTTCAGTTTCCCTGGGCGCCAAAGGAGAGTAGACTGGATGACTGCTAAAGTCCTGGGTGCCCTGGTCCTTTCATTTCAGAGAAAAGTATACAATCACAACTGTACCATTCTCCCTTGATTGTAAACGTCAACAGAATAAAAGTTAACATGCTCAGAAATTTTACTGCCAAGAGTGCTATGATTTTTTTTCCCATCTTCTGCAAAGGATAGATGAGGGTCCAGACCATCAGGCCACATTCACTGCTTATACTGGAAAATGAGGAAATGCTAATGAAATTGCTTTTACGGGCTGACATTCACGGATGGCAGAAAAGGACGTTCTGGAATGAGTTCAGGACTTGTTCTTCAGGAGTACTGTAGCTCCTGGACAAAGTTCAGTGGCCAGGTGCACACTTGGGCACATCCATGCCCACACACAGCAAAGGTGACTGAGACCGTGTTAACCATGAAGGGGAAAGAGAAATCTTAAGAGTTTTCCCCAAACTCAAAGCCTCTTGTAAACCATACTCAGGTACTTAAGCATTAATTTACACAATTCCGATTAAGCTGAAAACCGCAGATCTTCTCCCCGCCAGCGTCAAGTAAGAAGTGGACTGATATTCAGAGGTAGTGATGTCAAGTCTATTTTATAAAATGGGCTATCTGCAGAAAGGCAGATAAGAGTTTGCTTTAACATCCAATTAAAAGCCATCATTTGAAATAAAAATTAGAGGGCTAGGATTTTTATGATGACTCTTAACATCTTTGGAAAATTTCCAGTTCAGAAGTTTAATTTGATTCACTTTCTTGGAGCTTCCACACACACCCGCAGCTGTGAAGAATCTAGCCTGCATTTTTTTCCTGAAGCTGTAATCTATGGCTCTGACCCCACAGAGGCTGTGCAGTGTCCCTGGTCAGGCTCAAGCTGTCTTCTAATTATGGAGTGCCCAACTGACTGGCTGACTCTTTCTTCCTTATACCTCACTGTTTATTCTTTAAGTTGTGTTTTAGTACGTATGTCCCTATAGAATTTCTTTAATTCACGCTCTTACCAGTGTGATCGAGGTCTGAGGTTTTGACAGAAGAGACTTTAGATATTCTGCAGGTATGCGAGGCCCAGCAGCTGGTCGAAGAGTTGCATTTCAGCACCTTATAGTCCTCAATCTGTCTCCCTTTATGATTCCTGCATTTACCCTCAAGGGTCAACTTAGTTTTCTCATACCTTCCCAAGTAAAACATTTAGTTCTTTTTCAATGCTAAAACATGATTTTTTTAAAAACAACAAAGACATGCTCAGCATAAATATCACAAAACCATGAGCTCAAATAGGTGATGTAAAAATACCATTGTCTTAAGATCAAGGTCTTCAAGGCTTAGATGACACGTATGTACCACCAAGTTCTAGTATACATCGTTCCATATCATCATTGCTGTTGTTTGACAAAAACCATCACATGTTCTCTGATACAGTGGCATACCCACATCACTGAAATACACTACTGCAGTGTTTAACTTTTTCCATCATTGCTTGAAAATGTGTAGCATAGCATCGGCGCTAAACCTTGCTAATTAAGAGAAGTGCTAATTTACAGTCATTTTCTTCTCATAATGATTTCCACGATCCATTTTTATTTCATCTTCATTAAACTCAGTCTCAACTACCCAATTGTGTTTGAGGTAGCTGCATAGTAGTTTTATTGCTAGGAAGTCAGCATGTTTCAAAGTTATCACCTGGGTCATCAGGTTAGACTTAGAAGTGAGAGGAAAATATAGTACCAGTTACACCGTTTGCTCACCTGGCACACAAATTAAAAACAAAAATCATCTGTGTCTTTAGTGATTAGAAATACAGATCTTTCGTGAGCATAGACACAATACAAGGAATCTGTTTCTTTGCATGAAAAGTAGAATCAGTGGAGAAGGACTCATATTCTATCGCTACCTTTCGGTTAACCCGAGTAAGAATGTGCATGAGCTCGTGGTCGCGAGCGTGCTTTTTCAGCATCTCACAAAGAGCCTGGATGAACCAGGATCCATACTTTGAGTTTCGCCAGGAAAAGTAACCTATAGGGCAAAATACAACAGATAGTTGATGTCAGCTGATTTAATCAATTGTGACATATTCATGAAGGTAAAAACAACATAAACATGCATAGGTATTATTACCATAAAAAGGAAAATATACCATAACTTTGGTTCCAGGGGAAAACAAAACAAAAAAACCAAGTAGGTGTTGTCTATATAGCTCTGCTTTTGACAAGGAAAACAACTGCAGGCTAACTGCACCACTGAGTGAGAATTCTACTTTCTGGGCTTCCCTTCCAATAGGGAAGAACGGGTTTGTAGGCAGGAAATGCAAAAGCAAAGAAATAAAAAAGGATCATTATAAGTAGCATGGTGATGCAGTGAGATGATTGGCTTATCCAAGAAACAACCTGCTTATGTATGCACACATATTTGAGGGTCTTAAATTTGTCTGCAGGGCATCAGAATGGTGTATAACAGACATAGCATAGCACATTCAGAAGTCCAGAAAGGGGAAAGAGTGTATTTATTGTTCTTTTCCCAGATAAACGAGTGGATTCATTGCTGTGTTTTTGGCCACGCTGAGTGGCTTGGGGGACCTAATTCCTGGACTGGGGAATGGAACCGGGGCCCACAGTAGTGAAAGCACCAAGTCTTAACCACTGGACTACCGAGAAGTCCCTGGATCCATTGCTTTTAATCTGAACTGGAAAGATGCCTGGGGGTTAAAATAAATCATATCGACTATATTTAAAAATGTAATACTGTTTAAAAATATGTTGGCCCTGTATTTCCAAACTTCCCAAACACACCCTGAGTTAGTTGTACGAGTAAACAAGTACATGATCAATATATATTAATTTTTATGATGACAAGTGCACACACGCATAACGTGTAATACAACCATAGACAAAGCGGAGGTTGATAACCTAGTCATAAATCATTTCTAACCTTCTTCCCATTCCACTTCTACCCACTCATATGCTATTCATGTTTATACTTTCAGTTTCCTATCTCCCAAAGAATTCCTGGAAAACACACCTCTCTCCTGTTTCAGGAAGTGGGCGAAGCTCTGAGTCGGCCTGAATTATCATATGGTTTCCATGTGTCGTCAAGTTCATGAATGACACTGTGTAAGCCTGCTTTCTTACACGGGCGCACTTTCTAGTCAAACTGGGCTAAAGACAACTTTTGGAGACTTCTCTGTGGTTAGGGTACCCTAAAATCAGACACAGTGGCTTTTTACGGATACCAAAATCCCTACAGCCTTTGGAACGCACTCTTCATTGTTTGAAATGTACATATTTCAGTATTTGTACGTTTCTTACCAGGTGCTGTAGAATATGCGTACAAGAAGTCTGCCTCAACCGGGATTTTCTGACAGGCCATGTCATCCTCAGCACCACTGTCTGTCTCGATGCCACAGTCCAGTTCTGTGCCTCGGCAGGCCTGGAGGTTAGAAAATAAACACCTATTTAAAAATCAGAAAAAAAGAAAAGAAACATTTATTGGGAAAAAAAAAATGTGTGTGCATGCATAAATGTGTAACTTATTCCTAAGAAATGCAAAGGCTCTGTAAAAACTGATGTTAATTATTCAGAATCATTTTGCTAGAAGTCTAAAAATTAAAGTTTATGTTATGTCTCCTAAGTGGTGGTTTAAATAAATAAAAAAGTAGCAATAGTTTAGTAGCTTCAAGAAAAAAAAATTTTTTAAATCCTTTGGATAATCCACAATGGAGTAAATTAATCCCTAATGAAGCCTCAATAACCAAATCACTCAGTTATCTATTACCTGAATAATGAAAAGTTTGGGCTTTCCAGTCAGACTTCTGCAATAGTCCCCTCTGAAGAAACTTGCTAATTTTTTCAAACTGACGGGTCCATTTGTTCCAAAAATGATTCCTTCTTCACCATGGCTTAGAAGTACGCAAATAAAACTGCTCCTTCTGCTATGGTCTTCTTTAGAAACTGGAAAAACATTTACAAAAAAACCAATGCAATTTTATTCAACAATTTCATATATACTGTATGGGAGTAAGATGAAGAAATTTGAGAACTGAACTAAGAGATTGTGTAAACCCAGCTTGGGGCAGAGCAACTCATCTCAGACTACTCTAGGGAGTTGGGATGAATAACTTGTTTTACTTACATAAAATGTATAGAGTAGGGCTGTGTACAGTTTAGTTTCACAATTCTCATGCTTTACTTTCATATAGGTTAGAGCTAGACTGTATATACATTGGACAATGAAGTTCATTCTTTTCATTATTTCTTACCGTTGCTCATTAATTCCAACATTTCTTTACATGTAAGATCATTTTTAATCCTGACTTCATATTTCAAGTTCATGAAGGTTTCCATGATGTTTGCTGCATCCACGTCTGTACCAGATCGACATTCCATGCCTTGAACAGAAAGTTACTTTTAATTGCATGAAAGAAAAAGATAAACTGCTTTGAAATAAACTATTCAGGAATCCACACAATCCACAAGAAACTCTTCCTTTCAAATGCTAAGCAAATTCAATATTCTGGCAGAGGTGACACAAAGTTTCTTTTATTTCTTTGCATACAAGACACTTCACTATATAATCTGTTATCTGTGTTACAGTCACAAAGATGCTTTTCACAGCTGCTTAGGTAGTGAAAAACAAATGACTTAAATGTCTAAAAAGAGAGGTTTGGTTCAATAAATTACAATTCAATTATAATATGGGATACTATGTTGCCACTGAAATTTTATAGACAAAATTTTGCCATAGGAAAATGGTCACTGTTATTTAAAAAAAAAAAAAAAGAGTAGAAAATAAAAGGATCCTACTTTTAAGAAAAAATTATACACACACACATAAACATACACAAACACAGACACATCACCATACATAGACATATATATCAACACATACCTCACACACTCAGAGAAACTATTTCTTCGATTCTTAAGTTTTCAACAATTCTAAGATAAATCAGTAGTTTCATCATATCTTTTCAGGGGAAGCAAAAAAAACCCCCCAACAAACCACTAGGCCACATCAACACTGTTCAAAAGCCTCTAAGCCTTCCAACCACCATGAAACCATGATCACGACCGGCTTCATTTGCAGAGATGTGGGACCCACAGCACAGACGAGTCCAGGAGAACTCGAACAAGGCACTGTAGCTGCTGCGTGGCCTGTATGCTTTCCTCACCCCTTTAGAGCACCTTCCACATGAATGTTGGACTGACTGAACAATGCCCTCAGATTTAAAAATCTAAAGTGTTAGGCATAGCAGGGGGAAGGCACCCAGAATTGAGTAAACTTAACACATATGAATAAAAAAAAAACTAGATGTATCCAGCTCCAGATTATTGTTGATTGTCTCTGAGTGGTGTGATTATGAATGATTTAAATTTTTTTCTTTTGCTAATCTGTAATTTCTGAAACTTAGCGCCATATGTTATTTTTACAAAATTATTAGTTCATCAAGGTTTTGACATTGGAAAAGGCAGGGAACACCACGCACTCGTGTGACAAAGCAAGTAAATTCTGGCCCTGGTTTGTGAGCTACTTAGTAGTTGAACAGAAAACACCAGGCTGTCTCAGAGATGGTTTTGAGAACCCGACCTTCAAATTTCAAAGCAGAAAAGGAGCTCACTGTAAAAGGTAAAGTCAGGCTATGGGCCAAAGTAGTTTGGGGAGAGAGTAGAACAACATGCCCCACCCCCTTTAAAGATAAGCAAGTACTCAGGCTGTTGTTGTTTAGTTGCGTTGTGATCCCATGGACTGTGGCCGGCCAGGCTCCTTTGTCCATGGGATTCTCCAGGCAAGAATACTGGAGTGGGTTGCCATTTCCTTCTCCAGGGCATCTTTCTGACACAGGGATCAAACCCATGTCTCCCGCATTGGCAGGTGGATTGACTACTACTGAGCTGCCTGGGAAACTTGGGCTGTAATGTATACACGATGAACATAACTAACAATGCTGTACGTTATACATGAAAATTGTTAAGAGAGTAAATCCTAAAAGATCTTATCACAAAGAAAAAACTTTTTTCTATTTCTTTAATTTTATGAGATGATGGCTTTTTAATTATATGAGATGATGGCTGTTCACTAAGCTTATTACGGTCATCATTTCATGATGCATGGAAGTCCAGTCATGCCACACACCTTAAATTTATGTAGTGCTGTGTGTCAATTATATCTCAATAAAACTGGAAGAAAAAAAACAAAACCCCAATAAGTTCAACAATGTAGAATTCTGTGGGAAGAGGGCATTATAATTAGCAACTTGAGGCAGAGTACCTAAGGTTGAAGGTGGTCTCTCAACTTAGAGCCAAAAGCAATATAAACGGGCCAGTCTTAGACACTCATTTTCAACTACGCTTTCCTTATTCCTTACAATGAATCTAACACCCAATCCTGCTTACTTTTCCAGTGTAATTTCACTTCTTTCCCTTTTCACCAGCATTATGATAGATAGCCTCCTAAAGTGAATCAGGAGATTCTAATTTCTTTAATTAAAATTCTAATATGATTAATATGCCAATTCAGAGTTAATCAGGATACCAATTTAAAAGTGAAAAAAATGAAGGAACAGCCAAAGTGTTGATTCACATGGTAAATTATGCAAGTCAAGTGAACACTATATTTCGGGAATGGGACATTATATAATCATTACAATAGCAGATATGAAAATTATACAACAACACAAAAAATGCTTACATTACATTAAATGGAATATGCAGGAATATTGCTTACATGTTATGGGTAAATTTAACTTTGAAAGGAACTGTTAAGGAAAACTTACAAGTAATATGGTAGGATGTTAATTAGCATTTTTAGGATCATGAGGGATTTTATTTTTCATATACTCTTAAAAAAAAAGAAAAAAACCTCTGAAATATACGATTAGATTCAAGCCAGACATGCACAGGGATGGAGAAGTGGTTCTGGGGATCAGGCTACTGTGACCCTAAGAGCAATTTCTATAGAGCGGTTGAGGTAGTGGAAACATGAGGCCAAGTTTAGAACACGCGTTTTCAAGACTTAGGGAAGGAGACAAAAATCAGATCAAAGCTTAAGGGGCAGCAGGCTTATAAAAAATAAGGTCTCTTTAAGGTGGGGAGTCTGTCTTCTTTCCAGGGGGAGAGGACAAAGTCAACAGAACACATGAAGGCCCAGGAGGTGAAGGGTGCAGGGATGGATTCCCAGCTCCGGCTGGAGGTCGGGCGCACCAAGGCCGAGAGGTCCAGCTACTAAATCACCTGTGGGACTCTGTGCAAGGACTCTTCACCCTTCCGTAACTAATGGCCGTTACTTTTCAGGGTTGCTAGGAGAATTAAAGAAGATTTCTGTGAGGTGCCTCACGCAGTTCCTGGAAAGGAAGAATACTTCTCCTTACTATTTGGTGAGATCCTTCCGTTAACATGAAAGAGGGAGCAGGAAGATAAAGAAGTAAGTCAGGCCTGGGACTTCCCTGGTGGTCTGCTATTGCTACTGCTACGTTGCTGCAGTTGTGTCCGACTCTGTGCAACCCCATAGCCGGCAGCCCACCAGGCTCCTCTGTCCCTGGGATTCTCCAGGCAAGAATCCTGGAGTGGGTTGCCATTTCCTTCTCCAATGCATGCATGCATGCTAAGTCGCTTCAGTCGTGTCCAACTCTGTGTGACCCTATGGACAGCAGCCCTCCAGGCTCCTCTGTCCACGGAATTCTCTAGGCTAGACTACTGGAGTGGGTTGCCATTTCCTTCACCCCCCCCCGGTGGTCTAAGAATCTGCACGAGGGTTCAATCCCTGGCTGGAAAGATCCCACATGTCACGGGGCAGCTAAGCCCTGTGGGCCATAACTACTGAAGCCCGCATGCTCCACATGCCCCTGCGAGTTGCAATTAGAGAAAGCCCTAACGCAGCAATGAAGACACAGCACAGCCAAAAAGAAAAATAAATTTAAAAAAAAAAAAGAGAGAGGTCAGGGCAGAAGAGGTCAACATACAGAAAGAAGAGGGAGAGATTTTGATCATACAAAGATTTAAGAGTTCATGTTGAATTGAAGGACTCGTAGGATCCTGGCTCTGTTTTTACTTCATGGCTATTCTATGTCATTAGTTTATTAATCAATAACATGAATTCTGCTTTTTTATACTATACCAAATGTAAATGGTACAAATACTTGTAAAGGCTTAAAAACTATCACGATACATACCAGTATCTTTCTGGAAGTTCTTATTATTAATTATTATACATACACCCCTTTCAGGATAATCCATTTTGTATCTCTCTTCCAAGGATATTCCAGAGTCCATTGATTTGCTTCCATGTAAGATCTTTCTGTTTGGAAATCAGACAACAGTTTACGAAGAGAGAAGTGACCAATACTGCTATTCACATGAACACAAACTTCTCTAACACATAAGAACAGTTAACATTTGTTGAATATAAGTGCCGGGTTGTGTGCAACAGGCTTTCTCCTCCCTAAAATTTCATAAAAACCCACTTCACAGATAAGGAAGTGATTACTAAGAGGCTAACAGTTATGCAGACCCTGTGTAAGACACAAGACTGAAAGCATCTGTTGAACTACAGGGTTCGTGCTTTTAATTTCTATATTGTTTTCCTTTACATTTTATTAAAAATTCACTAAGTACATTTTATACTTAGCCACCTCATCCAGCTGCTGAAAGTGGCCCAGGACAGTATGTAAATTAAATGGGGGTGGCTAGTTTTCAATAAAACTTGATCGAAACAGTCTACAAGCCTGACCCCCTGACCTGGCCAGGAAAGAATAACCAAACACTAATACCTATTGTTCACGTACCCATACACTCACCCTAGGAGTATTTCACATTATATAGCAATTTTTTAAAAAATTGTTGCAAAAAGCCTAAAGTAGTAAATTACGCTCTGTATGATACGAAAAGGTAGGAAAATGTGTCAATAACTTTAAAAGGGTTTTTTAAAAAGGCAAAAGAAAAACACCAAAAAGCCCTCTAAAATGAGATTGCATTTCAATAGTTTAATTTCTAGGCAAATTCCTTTGCTAAACAAATACTGCAAAAATCTTTATTAGTAATCTAGTAATAGCTCTGCTATAACAGTACTGTTTAGTACTAAAATTAATTTATAATTCCCTAGGTGGCCCAGAACAATAATACTGTACCTCAGAAAGAAACTTTTAGAATTAAATGTACCACAAGAGATCCCAAAGGGATAATAACAGACATGGATTAAATTAAGAGTGTTTATCTTTTCCCTTTCTCCATCTATTGGTTATTGAAGTATTAATAACCAAAATATTCCAAAAAGAAAGACTGGGAAGGAAACAAAAAAGGGGGAAAGATAATCTATAACCAGGCAATTATTCCCCAGACTGAGAACTCGCATTTTACCTTAGCCTTAAAACTCATAAACAGGAGGCCAAAACCCCCAAAACAAAACCTCTTATCCTGTGGAGATTCGAGAAGGTACAACTGCCTCTCCAGAGTCATCCTGCTACTAGGGCGGGGTCTCCAACCACAGGTCAGGCCCCCTCCAACCTCCCCATATTCTATCCAAGTTTTATTTTAAGGAGATTCAGAGAGGATAATTTAGCATGCGTACAGTCACACAGCTGTCACATGAGGTAAGAAGTCATCTGGGCCTCTCTGGTTTGAAAGCCCCAATTCTTTTTGCTTCCTCAGAGTTTGCTGTATCATACTACACACACCCACCCTCCTCTGCTGGTATGAGATTCCTTTTAAATACTCACGTCTCTGAAGTTTTGATGGATTTTGAATCCACTGAATTTTCAGTGTTCTCCATAGATATTTTTTATTTACTAGAATATAAAGAAAATAGATATTAATCAAAATCAGTCATTCTAAGATCACGGCATTATATTAATTATGCCAATGATTATTTCTCTAAATAAATGTGCTATATGGACATTTTCACATTAGCGGTACCATCACTCCCCCAGCTTCACCTCTGCTGTGCAAGGTTTTTTTGAGTCAAACCTCAGAACAACAATCTTTTATAAAGGTGCATACAACATAGCCCCTTTCTCTCTTTCCTTTTTAATTGAGTTATGAAATGCACGCAGAGCACAGATACATGTGCAGCCTGATACAGTTTTACATTTGGCTGCTCCCCTAGATCAAGATACAGATCGCAGCTCGTTTCTACTGCAACAGATCCCGTCATTGCTTAAGAGCTGCCTTCCAGCTCAACAGAGTTAAAAGAAAGCCTGAAAACTTCCCAATGCAATGGTATACCTCACATAACACAATTTTATGATGTTTAGATTCCCAAGAGATTCAGTGCCATAAGTTCTAAACCTCCACAAAACCTTTACTCTTCAACTAGACATGAGAACCCCACTTTCTCATTTAAGGTGGTTGACTGGCTTGAGGAAACCTGGAAGTAAAAACTACAGTTCCTGCATCCATTCTTCCATCAGGTAATTCTGCTCACCTTCCACAGTGAATGAGTCCTTCTAGTTAAAGCAGCTACCACTTATTGACCCTTTATTACACAGCAGGTGCTGTGCCAGGCATCTTATCTTTTATCTTCCCAACATCCCGAAAAGTCAGGAAACCCAGCCCCTAGTGATGAAATGACTTCATCTGCAGCCACAGAGCTAATGATGGTGGTCTCCTTCCCTCTCCCGCTGGCTGCCTTGGAAGAAGCCAGTCTCTCACTATTTGTCTGGAGTTCTGCCAGGTATTCTCTGGTTTTCCAAAAACAAAAGGTACTTCCTATGACTATCAATCTGCCTCCCTAAATAAAGCATAGAGGAAAACAGGGACAACAACCTTTCTCCAGCCTCTAGAAGCCCTGCCTATCTCAAAATTCCAATCTAAACAGAACTTTTAACCTTACTCTTATGCTAAAATCAGAAATCTTAAAAGAATACATACCCCATCAACAAGATTCCCACGTAGGGAGGGAGCTTAGGACTAGAATTGAACAGTGCATATAGGTAATTAAGAGTCTGGAACTCAGGGAGAGAGCAGGGCTGGAGACAAACTGGGGCACCCTGACAACGAAAGGGTTACTAGAGGAAGCAGGGCCAGCCAGAGACTCAAGAGTGGACAAGAGATGGGAGGACATCAGGTAACTGGGGTGTACCAAAGCATGTAGAAGTCTTTCAATGAGCATTTGATCATTACAAATCTTGCTAAAAGTCCAGTTCAGATGAGGGACAGAAGACCATTAGCTTAGGCAAGAAAGTCATGGGGACAGTAGAGGTTGTCAAGAAAAATTGTCCGAGACTTAGAAATAGGCAAAACAAATTACTGGATATTATTTTCGGGTTCAGTTCAGTTCAGCCACTCAGTCGTGTCTGACTCTTTGCAACCCCATGAACTGCAGCACGCCAGGCCTCCCTGCCCATCACCAACTCCCGGAATCTACCTAAACCCATGTCCATTGAGTTGGGGATGCCATCCAACCATCTCATCCTCTGTCGTCCCCTTCTCCTGCCCTCAATCTTTTCCAGCATCAGGGTGGTGCTGGGCATAATTGTCAGAGAAAGCTCAAGGATCATCTGATTTTATAGGGTTTTTTCCTTAAGATTTTAATTTTTTTTTAATTTGAGTATAAGTGATTTACAGTGTTGTGCTAGTTTCAGGTATAGAGCAAAGAGAATCAATTATACATATACACATATCCACTGTTTTTTAGATTCTTTTCCTATATAGGTTATCACAGAATATTGAATAGAGTTCCCTGTGCTATATAATAGGTCCTTATTAGTTATCTATTTTATATATAGCAGTGTGTATATATGGAGAAGGCAATGGCGGCCCACTCCTGTATTCTTGCCTGGAGAATTCCATGGACGGAGGAGCCTGGTAGGCTACAGTCCATGGGGTCGCAAAGAGTCGGACACGACTGAGCGACTTCAACAATAGTGTGTATATAGGGTTTCCCCAGTGGCTCAGCAGGTCAAGAAGCTGCCTGCAATGCAGCAGACACAAGAGACGTGGGTTTGATCCCTGGGTCAGGAATATCTCCTGGAGGAAGAGGAAATGGCCACCCAGTCCAGCATTCTGCCTGAAAAATCCCATGGACAAAGGAGCCTGGTGGGCTACCTTCCAAAGGGTTGCAAAGAGTCGGACATGACTGAGAGGCTAAGTACAGTGCATGTCAAGCCCGATCCCCTAATTTACCCTTCCCGCCCCCGCCCTTTACCCCTGGTAATCATAAGTTTCGTTTTCTACGTCTGTAACTCCGCCTCTGTTTTGTAGATAAGTTCGTTTGTACAGGGTGTCCTCTTTTGACTGACCTCCTGACTAGGCTATTTTACAACTTGTAGGAAGTTAAGCCACAAGAAAGGGAAGCCGTGCAAATGACTCTTATTGACAGCAGTGAAAATAAATTTTGTCTTGAAATGATGTAACTAATTTTCAACTTGCAGAAAAGATGACCTTCTCAAATAACACTTTACTGTCCTACAGGATATTAACCAGTTTCCCTTCTACTAGCAAATGCATTTCATTATATCCAACCATTTACATCTATGTTTGTTGTTCAAAGTCTCCTTTGAACTGGTCTTATCCTACTAGTTCTATTATCAGTTAATTGAATAAGATATTTGACATGTATTTTATATCTACACAGCATCCAAGTTTTATACCTTTTGAAAATTATACTTTAAAAGGATCAATGTTGCTGCAGTGGGTTGAGGAGACAATGGGAAAAGAAAAAATGAATAAACACGAGTAAGTCAACATAGTTTTACTGTGAAGGGGCAAGGAGGGGGGATGATAGCTGAAGTGGGGCCAGAAGTAGAGGACACTTCTTGTTTGTCTTGGTTTTAAAGATGAGCCATCTAAGGCATTTTATGCTGATGAGAATCATCCATAGAAAGTGAGAAATTAATAAGGCACCAGGAGAAAAAGAACACAGTTCTTGAAGGAATGAGAGAGTTTGTGAATCTAGTTCACATATGGAGAGAGAAGTATTGGCCTCAGGTAAGAACAAGAACACCTATGACAAACCTAGACAGCATATTAAAAAGCAGAGACATTACTTTGCCCACAAATGTCCGTCTAGTCAAAGCTATTTCCAGTAGTCATGTACGGATATGAGAGTTGGACCATAAAGAAGGCTGAGCACCAAAGAATTGATGCTTTTGAACTCCGGTGCTAGAGAAGACTTTTGAGAGTCCCTTGGACTGCAAGGAGATCCAACCAGTCCATCCTAAAGGAAATCAGTCCAGAATATTCACTGGAAGGACTGATGCTGAAGCTGAAGCTCCAATCCTTTAGCCACCTGATGCAAAGAGCTGACTCATTGGAAAAGGCCCTGATGCTGGGAAAGATTGAGGGCAGGAGGAGAAGCAGATGACAAAGGATAAGATGGTTGGATGGCATCACCAACTCAATGGACATGAGTTTGGGCAAACTCTGGGAGAGAGTGAAGGACAGGGATGCCTGGTGTGCTGCAGTCCATGGGGTCACAAAGAACTGGACATGACGTGGCGACTAAACAATAAGAACAGGTGAGGGCTCATCCACTGTCATGCAAGGAAGACAAACTATGTGGCACAAAGTATGAAGGCTGGTAAACTGGATGCAAGGAGGATGAGGCACTTCTCATGTGATCACATCCATTTGCTCTTTATTTAGAAAACTTTGAGACAAAAACCCCCAAATGTCTATCTATCCCTTCATGTGTACTTATCCATGCATTTTACCAAGTAATACAAAAACTAACCATGCATACATCTAGCACAGGTGTATGAGACAGGTGTTCCCAGACTCAAGTGGAAGGGACACAAATTGGTATTACCTCCTGAGGACGTGTTGGCAACATGTCCTGCCATGTCTCAACAGAAGCCTTAAAGTCTGCTCTAGGAAACTTACAGTGCTAAGAATGCAGCCTAAGGATGCAAAGACTTCCAGCTCAACACAGTTTAAAACAAAACCTCTCGCTGGCCCTACTTCCTCTAGTAATGCTAATCTGGAGACTAGGGAGAGGAGAGAAGGGGAACGATATGCACTACTCATCAAAATATTGAGAATTTGGACAGAGAAATAGTGAAGCCATGATGTAGCCAATACACTGATTATATAGCATCTTTACCTTTTAACCTGTTTATTAACAGTAACTATCTCTGGGTGATGGGATTACTGGCAACTTATTTACCTTCAATATTTTTGCATTTTTTCTACATCTGCATTTTTAAAAAGTTAGGAAATCTTTTATAAAAGATTATTTTATAAAATAATATCTTTCAACAGTGGTGGACTGTACCAACCAGTACTGTGCTAGCCAATTTCAACTTTCAGCCCTGTTTCGAAAGCAATAATAGGGGTAGGTTACTAGTATGAAAGTCCCATGGACAGAGGAGCCGGGGAGGCTACAGTCCAAAGGGGTCACAAAGGGTTGAACATGCCTGAGCAGTGAACATGCACAAACATGCACTCTTCTGAAAGCAACAACACTTCCTTGACTGCTGTAGACCACGTCCCAGTCTGTCTTTCTCTGTTTCTTCCATATGTACAATAAATGTGTATTATTAGGTACAGAGAAATCTGACTTCCTCGAACCAGAAATATGGAGGCCAACTTGCCTCAGTGCACCTCAAATTATCTACCCATGGTTGAAAAATAAAAGTTTTGGTTAATCTGATTAATTGAGAGAATAGTACAGGGTAGCTAACAATTGTGGAAACATAGGCAGATACATAACAAATGGTTTATTGATATTATATTGTAATCCATGAGAAAACAGTATTATCTATATTTCAAGACTTTCCAGCCAGTCTGTGGAAAATCCAGAGTGAAAACACAGTGGAATGGGAACACAAGACTTAATAAAGATCATTTCTGAAGGGGGACCCAGAGCTCCTGCCAGAGTCTTTCTGGCTCCAGGGTTTTGCCTCAAACTGGCCCTTTGAGTAAGTTTGCCAAATGTGGGGTATACTGTATTTCAGGAACCCCTAAATGCTGCTACGTTCCATCAATGATCAAGGCCTTAAGTTCTTTTTACCAGATACTTCTGCAAAGAGCACAGTGATTATTGGACTGAAACACTAACTTCTAACAATTTTTTATTTCTTGCCATTAATAGAGCTCTGGGATAAAGCAATTCTATCCTTGTGACTGATAACAGGAGGTTTAGATTTACATAGCGGCCAGCTTTCCAGAGTTTTAAAATATAGTTGTCTCTTGAACAACAGGGGTTTGAACGGGACAGGTCCACTTACACATGGATTTTTTAAAATAGCAAATCTACAGCATTACACCATCCAAGGTTGGCTGAAATTCACGGACATGGAACTGTGGATATGAAGTACCTGCTATAAATTATACACTCAGATTTTCAATTGTGGGGAGGGTCCCTTCTGTTGCTCAACGGTCAACTGTGTTTGGCTTCTTGGTTCACACCATGGTTAAGATTTCATCTAAATATAAGGTGACTTTCAAGTAATAACTTCCTTTTCATACATTTAATCAACTTTCTTTAACCAAATTATTCTTA